AGCAGGGAACCTGGCAGGAACCAAATAAGTGTCTATAGGCACAATCGTGTTGATAATCCAGGTAGATAGGAAATATAGCTATCTGTTTTTCAAGTTGTAAATATTGAGGAAAGTATTACCCAACTCTGTTGTCCATATACAGCACCCAAAATATGGAAATCTGAAAAGAAGAAAATTCATATGACTGCCTGGGGCTTGAATAAGAAAGCATGCATTTTACTGAGTGGAATTTTAATTAGAAACTTGATTTTTCCTCTCTTAAGTCTACATTTAAGTTACAGTTAATTTTTTTAGCATTTGCATGTGACAAATGCTATTTCCCATTCAGATTCATTTGTAAGAAGATTCCATAATCAATTACTCCAATCTTCACTTAGTAGATGTTTGGTGACAAAGCTGAATTTTGTTCGGCATGATATATGTACTGTAAATATATTTTGCACTGTTCCATTTCTTTAAGAATGTTCAGGCATGAAAACTGTCTTCTTTTTACACAATTCATGAAATGCATTCCTTCCCTTATAAAAGAAAAAGGAAAACCATTTGTGTGCAAGGAAAAAAAACCAGGTAATTAATGAAGTTTCTCAACCAGAGAACCATGAAGTCAACATTCTTTTTTTAAGTCAGTTACAATCACTTACCATCTTTAGTTCTTGATGGAATTACACTGCTCCAAGAAGAATTTGTATGCAATTTGGGGAGGGATGTCCTTCTGGACACCCAGCAGTTGTCAATCAACAGGTGGCAACTGTAGTCAGGAATCCATCGTATACACCAACTGCATCCTTCCCTGGATCTGGGTGCTTTTCTGTTTCTCATGCCTTAGCCACTTCCCGTTGAGACTATTGCAATGTAGTCTATCCAGAACTACCCTTGAAGACTACAAGGAAGCCACAACTAGTCCAGAATGCAGCCATGTGAGTAATTATGGCACTTCCCATTTTGACCATGTAACTACTCCACTATCTGACTTCTCCAGGGAAACCTGAAGTAAAAACTACGTATTTCTTTGCAAACTCTAACATGGTTTTGTCAGAACTGAGCAGCAATAAATTGGTATGGATAAATTCCCTTAGATAGAAACGGTGGTATGGTAGTTTTCCACACATCTCTGTTCATATTGTTTTTGTCGGAAATGAAGGCCTAATTTAAGCTACTTCCTTCTTGTTTTCCTTAATGCATATTGCTTTCTGTGAGAGCCTTTCACAGTACCACTAGAGGGAGACCCTGCACTTCAGTATATATTGAAAGTATACCATAAGGCTTAAGTCAGGAATCTTCAAACTTGACAGCTTTAAGACTTGTGGACTTCAACTCCCAGAATTCCTCCTCCAGTCATGTTAGCTCAGGAATTCTGGGAGTTGAAGTCCACAAGTCTTAAACTTGCCAAGTTTGAAGACCTTTGGCTTAAGTATTCAAATTTATCAACACCTTTGTAGTAATCACCACCTCTAAATAAGCTTTTTACAAACTGGTATCCTCTAACTAGATGGTGAGAATTGTAGTTCAATTCTGGCAGAAAATGCTACCCATAATCTCATGTCAGAAGAAACAGGAAAACTGAACAATATCTAGAAAGCAATTGGTTGGAGAAGGATGAAGGTACGTTGACAATTTTTTAAGTAAATGCCAAATATTCCATTCCTGTTAAGATGATTATCCCATTAACCTGGAAGACTTTGAAGGAGAAACATCAGGTGCTATGCTGATGGCACTATTCTGATACCCCAAAAATGCAAAGAATCTGCAAACCCTAGTAATAAAAGGCTTGTGGTGTTCTGGGGTAGATAAACAGCCTTTACATCTGGTGGAAATTGCCCAGAGAAGGAAGATGTCCAGATATGTTGTCAAGGACCAGGATAATTTTAAAAGGAATTCTTTTCCCCCAAAACACATTCCTTTATTAAGAATATGAAACAACTCTTAATCTAATCATTGAAGAGGACTTAAATCCTCCATGCCTTCTGAAGGGATAGGCGAGTATGCTTCCTTATATTTTTGAATGAATGTTTCTACTCTGCTTTGTGGATCAGAAGTGGCTTCAGCTTGAATCTGGAGATATTTCTGTCCAACAGAAAAGTTATTCTATCCTTGAATGCTTTCCTAAAGAACCCACCAAGTATGGTTTGCAGGCATTGCTTTGGCCTCTTTGTGTATATAGGTCAACTCTGGAATATCAGGACAACTTGGTACAGCCAGCTCACCATTAAGTTGCCTCTGTCAACTCACTGTCAAATTGTAGGACAACGCAACATGGTGGTAACTTGCCACTGGCAGCCAGAGACAGCAAGGCAGGCATACACGAGTGAGCAAGTGGGAACAGTGCAGAGTGGCGACTGAGGACTTTCCATTTGCACACTCCCCACCACTGTCACCGCAGTGCTGATCTCCAGCCTGTTCAGAGTTCAAGCCATTTGGTGGTGGTAGTGGTGATGGCAGTGTTTGGGCCATTCAGTGGCGTCGGTGCCGCATGGCCTGAACACTGCTGCCGCCAAATGGCTGGAACTCTGAATGGCCCAGAGCTTGGTGAGGTGGCAATGGCAGCAGGAGTGGTGGGGAGTGTGAAAATGGGAAGCCTCCGGCCACCACCAGTTCTGCACTCTGCCAATTCACCTGTTCTGACCGAGGCTTCCCCAACATTACAAAGCCAACTCCTTGTCCTGATAAGCCCTTTTTATTTAGTTTACAGTGAATCCCTCTCCAGCAAAGTCCCAGCCAATAGTCTTTCAAGATATTTCACAATTAAAGACCTTTATCAGGCTTGGAAAGTTGCCAGGCTCTTTCGCTTGGCAGGCGGGCACGCACCCGCAGCTCGCTTTCCCGGCTCTGCCCAGCCTGCACGGCTCTGGTGCAGCCCTGGCGGGATGAGCGGAGGGCCCGACGGGGAGGTGCTCGCTGCCTTGGCGAGAGCTCCACCGCCAGGCAGGAGGGCCCACCTGTCAGCTGAGCTGGGAGCCCCAGGCGAAGCTCTTTGCGCTCTGCCTGGCGCCAGGCAGGGATGGCGGCTGGGTGCTTCTCCCGGGGTGGGCTGATCCTGCGCTGCGGCCCTGGGAGATTCACCTCCCCATGTGGGGTTGGGCTGCCCTCTCGGGCAGGGGAGGCTTTGTCGTACTGGTAGTAGGGCATCGTTTCTAAAAGAATTGGCTTTGCCTTCGAAGGTGAAGGGAAGGTGGCGACAGGAGCACCTGAAGCCGAGTGTCTCCGCCAGGCTCCTGTTGCAGGGAGGAACCCTGGCTGGCCGTGCGTGGCTGCGCCAAACACCGCGGCATTGCTCTAAATGCCGCAGCAGCACGGGGAAAAGGGAAAGCAATGGTGGCGGAAGGTCTCCCGATACGAAGTGCCCCACCAACGCCGAAGTCAATGCAGGCAGCACCATATCTGGGTATGCAACAAAAGTACTTCCTAACGGCAAGCCCCCCCGCCACTCCCCCCATTTTGCATGTTTAATATAGGCCTTAATTTGGGGGGAGGGGCTTAATTTGATTTTATGCCTATAAAACATGCTGGGACTTCCTATTGGGGGAGGCCGTATTGTTGGAGAAACATGGTAGAAATTACTGCAACACAGGCTGACACATTGAGTGAGGTAAGGAGAAGGGAAGGGAATTCTTATTCAAGTTTGGCACATTTTTTTCCTGGATTCAGCTATTTGACAAAAAGAAACAGCTGACAATACTGTACAGTATTGACAGGAATCAAACATGAAATACTTTATTATTCTAACATATCCTGTCTTCATATGGTAATGTGTTGTAGAGATAAAATTGAATAACTCACCTGTAATTTAAATATAAAAACTTCCAGAACATGTGCAAACTCATACTGAAGGCACATTGTCAGCTTTGGAATCTGGGTTTTTCTGGAACGCTGACAGATATCTCCGAACACATGATTATTGCATATAAGGGCACTTAACCTAATGCGTGCTAGTTTTAATAATCAAGATCAATCTCAAAAGTTAAAATAAAAATACAATAAAATTCTTACCTTTGCACAGTATTTAGACGTATAAAAGATAATATAGTACAGCATTGTGCCCATAAGCTACTTCATTCTGCTGGTCCAAGCAAAAACATGGGAGGGAAATGTGTGCTGACTCCAGAGTAACTTGCTTACATGACTACAAGACAACCACCCACACTGACTGTATAGTCCTCAGATGCTGTTTGCTCATGTGACAGCGGTCGTAAGCATGCGTTGCTTGTGGGGTACCAAATGTTGCTCATGTCACCACAGAGGCCTTGTGATTGCTGAAAATAGCTGCTACTTCCAAAGTAGATGAGTGCTGGTTTCATGATTCCAGAGGCCTTATAGCAATTAAACAGATATTAAGCAAATGGTTGCTCCATGAGGATTACCTGTACTGGATTGGAGAATTAACTTTCTACAGATTCTCATAAAAACACATCCATTTGTGACTATGGTTCTGGAGATTCAGAATGATGGTTTCTACCGCCAATGAAAATCCTTTCCTTATTCTCCTGATTAGGAACAATAAAGTAAGGGTATTGAGTGTCATTTGGCTTTTAACCTCACAAAATTACTGATTTCCTGGATTTACTAGGGCAGGCCTCCCAAAGTTTATTTAAAACATGTTTCAATCACAAAATGATTTATTGAATTACTGCCCAACACCACAGGAAGAATATCAATTTTCTAGTCAGGATTCCTGAAAGTTATAATCTGACATGTCTGGAAGATACCAAACTAGAGAAGGTTGGTCCATCTACAGGACCATCTATTTTCATACCAAGTGGCTGTGGACATTTAAGAATACAGTGCTACAGTCTGAAAACATTCATCAACACCGTCAAGCACAATTTTAATTAAGAAAATACTGGTCATCAAATGTGTCACATTTTTTTACCTTATGCTGTTTTTAACAGTGGAAAACATGCGCACCATGAGGCAATTTTCTATGGCAATTGATTTCCTCTACTTTGTGCATGTTCCTGCATCTACATGAGTCATAAACCAGCCTAGCAAAGTCACAATGGTGTATTTCCTACAGGGGGTTGAAGGTAATTTAGAGACAATAAAGAAAAAATAGGTTTAAAAATCTATCTTTCAGGCATATGTCACAATCTCAGGTGGTTACAACCGAGCTTTGAGTCACCGATACTACAATTCAGTACAATTCTGCAGAATACCTCATTAAGGTTTGTAGGGCTCCCCTCCTTGGCCAATTATTATAGAAATGCACAAAGAAAAAGTATTTCATATAAGATAGTACTGTCTTGCAAATTGTGCCACTCAAAGTTTTGTAAACAGATGTCACCCTAAGTTAGAACAATTTCTGGGCAATCTGCTATAAAGGCTTCACTTGGATCACATTTGCTTTTGTGCCTGTGTCTTTCAAACTGTCATCTATTTCTTGCATTTCATCATTGGTGATAATGAAAATGACAGAGGAAGAGCTGAATGTCACTTTCTTCTTGGGCCTGTCCCTCGCCTTCTGTGGCCCAACAATGGGCCTTACTGGCTTTTCACTCCTGGTTGCCGGCTTTCCTTTTAAAATCCTCTGAAACCGCAAGAGGTGAACACAGACGAGCTGCATAAGGCACTGTCGAAACTGAAAGGAAAGAAAACTCCACTGAAAATCTAATATTTGGATGGAATGAATGTAATATATTTCAGAAACAGGGTGACATGAGGATGACATAAAATCAGCCATGAGTTTTTGGTAAATTCAAAAACATGCTTGATACACAATCAGATGAAGGCCGATCAGTTAGATTTCTATTAGCATCATTTGACTACTGGCAATTTTTAAAAAAACTATACAGCTCTCTATATAACAAACATTATTTGTTCCATTTTGGATTAACTTTATAAACGTTGTCTTTTTAGCTGATGAATGTCCCTCTCAGACATTTTGTAACGTTCACCCAATTCTACAAATATTTGCAATAAGCATGGAGGCTAATCTGCTTCATAAAATTTGAACAGCACAATAAAAAAGAGTAAAAAAGAAAGCTGAAATGCCCTTGGCATTTCCAGGGAAAGCAGGGAAAGTCTCTATTTTAATATCAGCAGTCCTTTACCCAGGACTGCTGATAGAATAAACTGACATGGTGTAAAAAAGTTTTATGTTTCTAAAATTATTGCCCTCAATGTCCTATGTTGTGATTCCTTGATTATTTTTTGGCAGCTTTCAAATGTTATGTGTCTGTGTGTGTGTGTGTGCAAAGAAGAAAGAGATACACCTACAGGGCTTGTTTTTTATTTTATCTGGAGATGGTAACATTAAAAAAAACATTTAAAGAATTGCTAAACTTGCTAGACCAGCACTGCATTGTTAAAAAATACTCTACGTCCTACTGCTTAAATCACAAATTGGAAAGATCCATTGCTTCCATAACCAACCACTCTGGCTGTTTCCTTCCTGGAATCTACCATGAAGCCCTCTGCCAAACTGAATTAGCTAAGATTCTCCCTTTGGAATAACTGGTAGGGAGTTACAAAAATGAACTATAGAAATGGAACTATGGAAAATGGGAAGTGAATTATGATAAAAATATATATCTGGGAACAGAAACCAAAGTAGTCCTGATAGCTGTCGAGTCATCCTGAATTCTAGGAATATCTTAACATTTTTTTCCTCTTTTTTAGAGGTCAATGCCCTGGATTGAAGAATGGCAACTTGGAGCTTCCACTAGCCCTGTTTCTACTTAAGATATGATGGACTACAATTTGGATCCCCACCAATATGTCTATTGACTTATGGCTTGGGAGTTATAATAGGATGGCAACTTAGGGAGAAGGTTAAGCAAGTCAAACCAACCAGTTTGTGATGGGGTGAGATTGTCTACTAGGAATTTTGTCTTGTTATTTCCCCCTTTCCATAAAGAATCACTTGATTTGAATCAAAACAAAAGCTAATTTTGTTGTTTATATACTTCAACTATCAGAACGGAACATGCGTTTGTAAAATGAAGTATTAGTTTCTTCTAACATTTGAGAAAGTTGAGAAAAAAGAACTGAATGTGATTTTACCATTATTAGGTTTCTTTAAGTGACTTACCTTTCTATTCATGAAAATAAAGATAATTAGGTTGTAGGCAGTGTTTGATTTGGCAAAGAAAGACGGGATAATAGCCACTGTTGGAGTTATAAGGTGACCATAACCATAGGCTATTAAAAGAGAAACCACAGCATATGGCATCCAGCAAATAAGAAATGTGGTTATCATTAAAAAACACATTTTAGCCACTTTCGTCTCATATCTTAAGATTTTGATCACATGGACAGTTTGCAAGCCTTCCACACAATGAAACTGGAAATGAAAAGAAAAAGATTAAAATACCTCATTTAGAATTCTAATCATATTTCTCTCTCTTGAAAAAATTGAGATCTTGTCTTTCTGCCACAATGTATAATGGGACTTTTCTTGGGACAGGCTATCACAGTGTGATAATCATCACTTAGAATGGTAAAACAAGTCTATGTGGTTTTCCAATCAGCCAATTTTCTCCAGGCCAAGAATTTATTTGAAGAAAACATTGGGCTGGATGCTGGAATGAAGGACTGGACAAAAATCACTCAAGATTCTTTTTCTCTTAATAAGATAGCTCTGGATTGCAGTGACTGGATTTATGAATCAGGCTAAACACAAATAACATTGCAGTATTAAATAAGACACTCTTAAACACATTTCATTTGCATCAGGAGGACTGAATTATTTCTATATATATTTATATGCTTTGATCTTTATGTGTTCCTTGGGAGCGTTATTTCTCATTTATCACTGAACAAAACAGAACTTGGCTATAGGAAACATGTCAGAATTACTTTTTAGCCATCTGGCATCTTCCAAAAACTATACCATAATTTTCCAGCAAACATGGTCTTTGGCCACCTTGCTGGTAATTATAGTAATAGCACTTAGACTTATATACTGCTTCATAATGCTTTACAGCAGGGGTCTCCAACCGTGGCAACTTTAAGACTTATGGACTTCAACTCCCAGAGTTCCTCAGCCAGCAAAGTTGGCTGAGGAACTCTGGGAGTTCAAGTCCACAAGTCTTAAAGTTGCCAAGGTTAGAGACTCCTGCTTTATAGCACACTCTGATCAGTTTACAGTTCACCATATTGTCCCCAATAATCTGGGCCCTCATTTTACTGACCTCGGAAGGATGGAAAGCTGAGTCATCCTTGAGCGGGTCAGGATTGAACTCCTGGCAGTGGGCAGAGTTAGCCTGCAATACTTATAACCACGGCTCAGCAATAGTTTTGGGAACATTCTCAGAGTGATAGAGAATCAGGATACACACAAGTTTAATAAAGTATTAGTATTTTCTCAATTATTTCTTCCATTTCTTTTTAAGACATTAAATTAACAGAACCCCCATGCCACCTCTCCCAAAATATAATAAAATACATACAGATCAAATTCAACTATCATTTTTAATATCAGGAAAATATGTGGGGTTGTACATTGTCAGAAAAACTAAGACAAATTATGAAAACATATATATAAGTAATAGCAGGCACACAATAAACACTTTGTCATGTTCTAATCAGTGTTTAGCCATAAACATTGTATTTGCTTACTGAAAAAGTCTAGAGGCAAGCTATTGGTTTAACAAACTCACCATTCGTACTGCATGAAGAATATGCCCATAGCAGAAGACCACAATTCCAAGTGGTACTACTAGACAACCAAAAAAGAAAAAGAGAACAAAGGAAGTATCACTGGGTTCTCTTGAACTCCAGTCGACTGAACAACCTAATCCATGAAGTTCTAGTGTGTAGTGGTTCCAGCCAAGAAGAGGTGCTCCTGTCCAGGCTAAGGAATAAAGCCAGATATACGTGATTGCTCTCCAAGACCACGAGAAATCAATCACTCTTGCATGTACTACTCTAATGTACCGCTCATAGGCCAAGACAGTGAGAGTCATAAGCGAAACAATTCCTGCAGGGAGATATAAAACAAAGCAAGCATTATACAATAATTTTTAAATCGTCTGGTGTAACTGTCCTGCATACAAACATATGGATTTCTAGGCTTATTTTATTGTTCTATACTTATCACTCTATATGCACAATAAAATATAGACCAAAAAAAAGAAAATATATTTTTCCCATTATTGGGAGAGCTGCAAGCCAAGAACATCATTCACTAATCACCACCATAGAGTTAATTCTTGAAATCAAATATTGAAACATCAGATCACCCTTTTCTCACTCAATGCCCTCCCAAAATGTTGGGAATGCAACTCCAAAGATTCTCTAGTCAGAAGTAATTTCTTAACAACTCAGTTAATTAAGAACACAATTAAAATACATGTATTTCAGAATGTCTGTGAAATATTGCAGCTTACTAATACAACAGATACCATTTAAAGCAGCTTCAACTGATATATGTGAACATGAATTTAGGTAAACTCTGGGAAACAGTGGGCAGGGAGCCTTGGCGTGTTATGGTCCATGGGGTTGCGAAGAGTTGGACACAATTTAGTGACTGAACAACACCTGATTTACTGGATTACAACTAACCAGTAGCCGTGGTCATGAAGAATAACGTGAATTGTAGTCTAACATCTAGGAAAAGGTTCCCTTTTGCAAATATCAATTAGAAAAATTGAAGGTGGTTCATTTCTTGACATAATGAATGTGGAAGGTGGTAGGGTGACTGCATGTAACATTTGGGGGCAGGGGAAGAGCAGCGTTATATACATTCAGCCTGCCATTTTTTTTTTAAAGAAGTACATACATAGCTGCCACCCCAAAAGACTTGCCAAGCATCTCAAGCCTTGTCACAAAGGCCAGCTCCAGCATTTCCATCTCTATGCTAACTGAAGAACAATTTTTTTGACATTCCATGTATTTCTTTGAAGCTGATGACGATGTTTAATTTATTAACAGAATCCTTTTCCCTCGATGTGCAGATCGGTTCTATATACAAATTCTAATTGAAAAAGCACATTTCACTAAAGCCACAATGAATCAAACCCCATTACATGTTAGAAATTAAATCTTTTTTGAATTTGTCAATATGGGCTAACTTAAGACTGGTGAATGCCCATTTTACCATTACTGTATGATACATATTAATTGGAATAGATAGAAATCAGAGAAAAATAAGTAATCTAACAGTGGACATGTTGGGAAGGGAGAAGTTCTATATTTAGGTTTGAATGATAAATATATCAACGAAGAATCAATGGATCTTTTATTTATTTATTAAACACATTTATATGGTTTTCCAACTCAGTGACTCTGGGTAGCTTACACCAGCTGTCTCCAACCTTTGCAGCTGGGGGGTAGGAGAGAGGGGAACTGGACTGTGAAGAGTGGTGGGCCAATGCGCATGCACGTGTGCATGCAGCCCTTGCGCAAGTGGGCCAGTGCGCACACACACAATTTGACTTGCACAAGTGGTGAGCCAGCCTCAGAGGTGGTATTCAGCAAGTTCTGACCAGTTCTGGAAAACCGGTAGCAGAAATTTTGAGTCTTCGGAGAACCGGCAAATACCACCTCTGACCGCCCCACCCCCAACTATTCTCTGCCTCCCAAGTCCCAGCTGATTGGCTGGGTCTTCTTTAGTTGCCCTGCACAGGAGAACAGAGCTGGAAAGCAGGCTAGTGGGGTGGGTGAGGGAATGGAGATTTTGCAGTAACCTTCTCCTGTCACGCCCACCAAGGCACACCACACCCACAGAACTAGTAAAAAAAACTTAAATCCCACCACTGGCCAGCATGTGATTGCCATTCGTGCAAGTTGAGCTGTATGCACACACGTGTGCTCGCTCTGGCCAGCCACTTACACGGCCCAATTACAAAAATGCCATTGGCTCAGTAGTGGCCTGTGAGGTTGCAAACCACTGGCTTAACATTGTTAAAAAAAATAACTAAATAAAGATAGCTTATACTTAGTGAGAGAATACATGTTTTGTTAAATAATTTAATCTTCACAAGATTTTCTTTAAGTACATACCCTTAATGCCCCAATGCTTTCCAAAATTTAGGAATGCAGGAGATAAAAATAGCTTATTTTTAAGCAAGTACAATGTTCTAAAAGCTTCAGTGCAGGCTATGCCCTATTAACTTTTCTACATCAAAATCAGCAGAGCTTCTGTTTTGGGCTTCTGAACTTGCCCAACCTTTAAAAGATGTCTCCATCAGCAACTTTTAAACTTTTTGTTCTATCATTTTAACTGCCTCTCCTGTACGCTTTCCTAGTTGTTCTAATTAGACTCTGCTTGCAATGGACAAATAGCAGCATGTAGAATCTTATAACTTTCCTCCTGCAAATAAAGCATTTTTACATTGTACTTATTTTAACTGGAATGAATCTTTGCTTCCAGAGGATTCAGCCTAACTATTCATACTGCCCAATGCAGTCATGGTAGAAATCATATCCAGAGATTTAGTCCATGAAGTTAGCTCAAATTGTTTAAAAGGTCTTGCTTATGGGTATCAGATTCTTTTGAGCTAACTAGGTAGTACTGGATCTATATTATAAACTTAGCCAAAATTCAGACATGATAGCATGGCATGAATAAGATCCTAGCATGTCATTTATTCAACTAAAATGGTTAAGCCAACCATAGTTAAGCAAGAAGTTTGAATCAGTAAGTACTTTGAAGTACCTGAAGTACCAGTGATTTTCCTAATAAGTTAAGTCTGCTTCTCTTTTATGTGAATTTTCTATTTCTCTAATATCAAGCAAACCAACAATCTTTCTACATTTTGCTTGGAAAATCAAAGCTTTTTTTGAAGCTGAAACTATGTCAATACTTTTAAACTTTATGTTGTTTATAACTCTGTTTGCATGGCACGTAAACACAGAAATATAATTAGACTTGGGACAAAGGAAGTTGGCTTTTTATTTAGAACAGCCCCACAGTTTTTTTGGGTTAAAATAATCTTCTCCAGTCAGATAAGTTTTTGAATGAAGAAGAGAGTCTTAGTAAAGTTACTCTCTTCAACTACAGGACACAAAAAATCAGAGTGGCTTTGTGACAACAGGACTATGTGGAAAAAACTAACACTGCTAATTTTTTGTCACAAATAAGCCCTTAAAACCAATGGTGGGATTCAAAATTTTTTACTACCGGTTCTGTGGGCATGGCATGGCTTGGTGGGCGTGGCAAGGGAAGGATACTGTAAAATCTCCATTCCCTCCCCACCCCACTAGCCTGCTTTCCAGCTCCGTTCTCCTGTGCAGGGCAACAAAAGAAGACCCAGCCGATCAGCTGGGACTCGGGAGGCAGAGAATAGATTGGAGCGGGGCCAGTCAGAGATGGTATTTGCCGGTTCTCCAAACTATTCAAAATTTCCGCTACCGGTTCTCCAGAACTGGGAAGAACCTGCTGGATACCACCTCTGCTTATGTCCCACTTGTAACTGCAAGGAAGCAGGCATGAACACAGCCATGGGCACTGGACCCATTTGCATATCCTATATTCTGGAACTACCAGATAACATTCCATTAGGGTGTTTCAGCTGTAGGATTCAATGTGCAAATACAATGCAGAAATTAAGTCCATAACCAATTTTATACATTGATGATTCTATATAAAGACTGGCTTGGTTTTTGTTGACAGTGGCTAGGATTGTATTTGCTAAAAACTGGAAAAATGAGAAAATGCCATCACAGGAGGAAATCATTAAGAAAATATTGGAATGTGCTGAAATGAGTAGATTGACATTTGAAATTAGAGAACAAGAGGATAAACAATTTTATAAAATTTGGGATCTTTTCTATCAATGGTTAGATAATAAAATACAGTAATGAAATATGTAGATTTTTAGAAAATAATAAATATATAAAGATGTACTTCTTTCTTATTATATCTAAAAAATGATTTTAGGATAGATTTGGGATGATAATATGAACTGTTATAAAGTAAACTATGATTATCTTGTAAAACATGAATGAATTAAAGTATAGTCAAATGATTGATTAATAATGATACTAAGGTATTTAATTTTTGATTGAAAATATGAGATTATATGCAATGCAATTGTAATTGAAGACTATGAAATGGAAGCACAAAACAATTTGTAAACCAACCGGCACACTGTATGTACATATATGGAAGATAGCTTGATGTTTTTATGTTTTGTTTGTTTATGTTTGTTTTTAAAAACCAATAAAAAAAATTTTTTTTAAAGACTGGCTTGGTTTTTATTTAAATAAAAATGTGTATATTTGGTTTCCTTCGGGATACTTATCTGGATTCATGATTTCCTAATGGGGTCTCTGAACTAGGCCACACATCTGGAATAGGGTAGCTGATAATTGCATGTCAGCTTACAGCTGAGACATTGGCTATGCCTATCTTAGAGAAGTCTCTGGATAGAAATGACAGCAGTTTTCAAGTATCTGAAGGCTATCAGATAGAGGATGAATAGAGCTGGAAGGGACCTTGCACCTTCTAGTGCAGCCCAGTGCTCAAGCAGGAGAACCTGTACTATTTGAGATAAGTGGCTGTCTAATCTCTTTTTAAAAACCTCCGGTGATGGAGCCCTCATGAATTCTGAAGACAAGCTATTCCACTGGTTAATTGTCCTCGCTGTTAGGAAGTTTCTCAATTCCAGGTTGCTTCTGTCTTTGGTTAGTTTCCAAACATTGTTTCTTGTCCTGCCTTCTGGTGCTTTGGAGAATAATTTGACCCCCCTCTTCTTTGTGGCAGCCCCTCAAATACTGGAATACTGCTATCAAGTCGCCCCTAATTCTTCTTTTCTTTAGACTAGCCAATCCCAAATCCTGCAGCCATTCTTCATGTTTTAATCTCCAGGCCTTTGATCAGATTAGTTGCTCTTCTCTGAACTTTTTCCAAGGTCTCAACAGCTTTTTTGTAGTATGGTGACCAAAATTGGTTGCAGTATTCCAGGTGTGGTCTTACGAGGGGTTTTTATAAAGCGGTACTAATACTTCACATGATCTTGATTCTACGCCTCTGTT